ATCAAATCTTGTCCAACTAGCTGTTAGGGCAACAAATGCTATCCCATCATTTTCATATATATATATATATATATATATATATATATATATTTTAAGGTTTTATTTATTTGAGAGAGAGACAGACAGAGATAGTGAGAGAGAGCACAAGCAGGGAGAAGAGGGAGAAACAGGCTTCCCGCTGAGCTGGGAGCCCGATGCAGGGCTCAATCCCAGGATCCTGGGATCATGACCTGAGTCAAAGGCAGATGCTTAATAACTGAGCCACCCAGGCGCCCCAATATAATATATCTTTAAGACTAGTTTTAAGTAAACATTTATCTTGCAAATACTGTTATTTGATTATTCAGCCAACCTTTCTCCTATATATTATCCAAATAGAGATTTTGATATACCTACTTGTAACTTTTTTTCTTCTATTTAAAGGTCTGTAATTACTCTGGAATCAGTAAGCCATGGCGTCAAAGAAATTTGCCGTTAAAGTAAGTAGTGCTTAATAGTCTTTAAAATGGTTAATCATTTTCTAATATAACTGAGTTCTATGTTCATTGACAGATGAAGCTCTGAACTTGCCTTCTACTCTTTAAATTAGTGTCTTTACTGAAAACTTTAGGTGATTGAAGATTTGCATGTTAAGAATGGGGGGGGGGAGAAAAAAATAGTTCATATGGTTATGGGAGTTTCTTGCTTCAAGTCTTCTGTAAGAGCCATTAGGTCATAACTTGGTCCTTAATGTTAAAAATTGTCATTCACATACGTATGTGCGTGACATGATTTTTGATAATGACAAAGCAGATAAAAATGAAGTAGGCAGCAAATGCTGCAGGTGGGTGAATGCCAGGAGAGAGGTCTCTTGCCCGGCTGCCCTCTTTTGTTTTCTTTTTATAAGTATCTCTTCTCTATCCCTCGATGGCTGAGGCTGAGACCTTCTCAGGTGTGGGGGGCTGGGAGAACTATGTGTGAAGGGTGGTGGGAAAGGAGAGGGGAAGAATTGATAAATAGTGGCTGTGAGGTGTCTGAGATGCCATCACCTATGCTGGCTGTTGAGGACATTTTTTCTGTGCTAGTGTTATATTAAGTAGGTTCAAAACACCAAAACAGACAAATTACAGTAGTTAACCAGATCAGATACTACTTAATATTGTAGTTATATCTTATTTTTACCAAGTCCTGGATTTACAATGTATTTATAAATTTCATTGCTTATCCACGTGTTCTGTAGTATTTCTTTTTATGAGAGATTATAAGTGGTGAACTTTCATCATTTGTCTTTCTAAAAAATGTAGCTTTGTCTTAACTCTAGAAAGTTGGTTATAGAAGTCTAGGTTGAGCATTATTTTTCCTTGGCATTTGAAAGATATTTTCCATTGTCTTCTGGGATCTGTTATGGCAACTGAGAAACTCTGTAGTTATTGATTGATGTTTAAAACCACCTTAAAACTTAGTAGCTTAAAACACAAGCCATTTTTTTCTCTCTTGTGATTGTGTAGGTTGCCTGGTATCATTTGGGTCATTTCTCTTTTTGATGGTGGCCGGGGCTGCAATTATCTGGGACCCCAGTTCAGCTGGAACATCAAAGATGACATGCTCACACGGCTGTCCCTTGATACTGGCTGTGGTTGGGAGCTCACCTGGGGCTGGTAATTGTTGCCCGACACTTTTCATTCACATGGCTGCTCTCTGTGGCTTGGGCTTCTCCTAGCGTGGTGGCTGAGTTTGAGGGATGGTGTCCCAGAGCAAGAGTTGCTAGAAGAAAGAAGAGAATTTGCCAGTTCTTTGAAGGGTTGGGCTCAGAAGTCTCACTTGGCACTTATACTACATTCTGTTGGTCAGAGCACTCAAAAGGCCCAGGCGAAGGGAAGCTGCAGCTTTTGATGTGAGAAGCAGCATGTGCCCACAGGGAAGCGAAGATTTACGGGGGGGGTGGGGGCACACATCTGTGGAGACTAGTAACTACAGAAGTCTCTCGCCTGCCTCATTGTGATTTCTTTTTTTTTTTTTTTTAGATTTTATTTATTTATTTGACAGAGAGAGACACAGCGAGAGAGGGAACACAAGCAGGGGGAGTGGGAGAAAGAGAAGCAGGCTTCCCGCAGAGCAGGGAGCCCGATGCGGGGCCCGATGTGGGGCTCGATCCCAGGACCCTGGGATCATGACCTGAGC